AAAATCCTCAAGGCCTTTGTAGAAAATAACAAATTTTTACCTCTTCTTTGCGTTTAAAAACACTTTTTTTCCACTTTTCTCCGTTTTTTTGAAATACTTAACAATTAATCTGTTGGAGAACTTTTATGCAGTATCATATCACAATTACTCCTAACAATGCTTAAACTCTATACTACTTCCGTGTTTATTCTGTTTACCCTAACTGTCATTTTATAAAAACGTTTTTATCGGAAAATCTATTTGAGGTTGTTTAACATCAGAATGTTTTTAAAGATTGTTTTTGACATCACATTAGGAGTTTTGCTAAGACATTTTTAAGAATGAGATGACTCTGTCAAGAAACATCAATAATTTCTGCCATTCTACACTTTATTTAACCTTTACCATTGCAGTACCTTGGAAACACCTATTCACTTGAGTTTTCACGTATCATCCGATGGTGAACAGAGAGACATAGTGGACTGTGAAAACAGCTCAAACCTGCGTTCATCAATCTCCCTTTGACAATCGTGAGAATGCATAAGACAATTTAAATTTGGTAACAAAAATTTTTTTAGTACGTTTTTTTTTTATTTAAGTTTGTTCATCTTCTTTTTTATTTAAATAAATTTGTTTTAATATCATTTAGAAAAAAGAAAGCAAATATATGACAGCTTTTAAACAGCAGTTTGCTGGTGAGGTGAACGTATTCTAAATTTTACAGCTGCTTTATTTTAGCAAAAAAAATAAAACGACATCTTTAATCAGTTTTTTAAACATATTAAGGAGCAGAAAATAGATCACTATCAGCTCTGTGCTCTCTCTAAGCGTTTTACGTCTTACAAATTTAAAGGTGAAGACCTCTAAACCAATCGCTTTTTTTGACAAGTGAAGAAAAAATTTAGTTCTTCAAATACTGCGCATAAGAAGTATCTTCGACGAGAAAAATAATAAAGTTTTTTGCAGAATTTTGAGGCTTTAATTACCTGAAATTTACTTTATTTGAAACACATATCGTTTACTCTTTATTGAATGGAGAATTACACTAATTCAACGTGTAGGTTTTGTCACCATATTTAAACTCATCTCAAACTTAAATACACCTTAAATGCAACACCCTTATTTGCCACAGATTGTGAGTTGCATGAAAGGCATTTGAGCTTCGTTTAAAACTGCTAAGCACTAATAAATTCGGACTAATAATCTAAGCTGTATCAGTGACGTCAGTGGTGAACTTTAATAGTTGTTGATCTTGAGATATTAAAAAACCGTTGTCCCGTTGATAATCTTGTTGGTAAACCTGACTTTATTTTATCACTTTGAGCACCGTGCTGTAACTATCATAACAGTTCTCCTCCATCTACCGATCATTTTTCACTGGCTTTTTCTACTTTGCAGTAAGAGAACCACTCTAACACAAAACTGATACTGCTTTCAAGCATAGTGACGTTTGGCTCTGGTAACTAGGCAAGCGAGCAGTCTGTTAGAACCACTTCTTAAAAAATGCACAAAAGTGAACACGGATGACGCAACAGATTCATTCTTCCCCTCCGTTCCGTCTAATTTTTGCGCAGAAATA